AGAGAGAGAGAGAGAGAGAGAGAGAGAGAGAGAGAGAGAGAGAGAGAGAGAGAGAGAGAGAGAGAGAGAGAGAGAGAGAGAACCTCTTTTATGGTGCCCTTCACTTTGACGCCCAGCACAGCAGCTCCATATTCCCATGCATCGTGGATCACCTGCAGGATAGGTATACACCCACCCATGACACCCAGACACTTTTTGTCAAGTTCTTTTTTCCATGCTATCTGTGGCTCAGGTTTGGTTAACCCCTTCACCATCTACAATAACATACCATGATATGCAATGGCATCAAATGTGGCAACGAGGTATCATTGGTGAAAATGGAAGGGCTGACTATCAGCTCAACTTGCTCAAATTTGTAGACAGTACTAAGCACACTTCCTGCCTTATCATGTGGCGCGGACTCACTCACACGTCAAGAAAGGGTCCCAAAAGGCAAAATACCTGGAAATAGGTCGACTTTCTCTTTTTAATTCAATGCTGGTTCCCGGATGGAATAGGGACCCGCCCCCGATCAGGAGCCTCCCGGTTGGACCGGGTGGTTGGCCGTCCTGGTCAGCTCCCGGTTGCCCCAGCGCATTTTGGCTGGGGGCAAAATTCGGGCAGGGAAGAGGCCTGGTTTCCTCCCATGGCGTTGCAGAGGCCACCGCTGCTGGGGAAAAAAATAGAGGGGGGCAGCAGACCCCCTCTACAGATCTTCGATTTTTATAGAGAGATAATCAGAGATTTCCTTTTGAGCTCCCACAGAGGAGTTGATTTACTATCTTGTGGCCCAATGGACCACAGACCAGATAATATTGACCAGTCCAGATACTGTACCTGTCCCAGCCAGGAGGCAGAAAACGATATGCTTGAGTCCAATATGGATTCAAGCATACCCCACGGGGGGACGGCCGTAAGGCTGTGTAGATGTTGTACGGGGGGTCTTGCCCGTTGAGCGTCCTGCTGACTTTGCTTACAACATACACAGCTGGGGGGCGGAGGCTCCCTGACGGACTGGGTACCATTGGGAGCCTCCTGCCTTGAAATGCCCCGCTCTGCCCTGGGTGTGTCATGGGAGTGTGATTATAGCACTGGCCGTCAGGGTAGGGCCTGCCCATACCTCAGCCTGCACAACCTTGTAGGAAAAAAGGAAAAAAAAAAGAAAACGATATGCTTATGTGAAGGCTTTGTCGAAATTATATGCTGCTTCCACGTCCCTAAGCTCTAGAAAAAGAGTTATGGGTTCGGGTTTCGGCTCGTGAACCCAGAGCACCAATGCTGTCCGAGGTGCAAGCCCAAGAATGGACCTCGCTCCGCTACATCTATCTGGACAGACTACCAGGCGAGATACTTTCGGACTGATGACCCACTGTATATCGAAAAAAGCAAACAAAAAGCACTCTGCCTACATGAGCGGAAACATGAACCCATAACTTTCTTGGAAAGTGTGGTGCTCTGGAAGACAAGCATAAATCTTGGCAAAATGCTGGACATCTTCTTATTCGGCCTCTAAGGTATCAATTCTAAATCTGATATCATGGTCCATCAGACCACATGATGCTGAATTGAAATTTTTGGGCCATTGAGAGGTCAGACAAATAAGCCGTTTACTCGACCCCTCCAGTGTTACCTCTGCATTGAATGACTGCAGTGCAGAGCGTGGCGCAGCCCTGCCCATCCACGCGCCCCCCCCCCCCCCCCCCCCCCCCCC